ATAAATCCGGAGGCAAAATAAGTAAAGTATGACTGTATAATCAGGAAAGAGCACCACTAAAACATTCAAACAAACTCAAACAATTTCTCCCTGTTTTTGCTATGTTGCAAATTCTGTTTTTACATCATTACATATTGAATATCACTGCACCTTCAACTTCTTCTTTCATGAGCGCAACACAGTTATCCTTTTTATGTGTTTAGTTTTTGTTTGCTAATTAGCAAATTAAAGTATTTCTAAGGAAGCTTTGAATTCTGGATAATAGAAATCTTATGACTAGACAGAGGTTCAGGTTTAAGGCTCAGTTAAAAGTAGACTATATATTAAGGGCAGAGACAGGTAAAAGTTTAGAGTAACACATCTAACATCACATAACTTATTTAATAAAGACATCTAAAACAATTTTGCATGTCATTTCACATAATTAAAGTCTCAGTTTATTTAGCTAAATAAACATTCTTCAGTATTTCATTCTGTGATAATCAATTTATTTCTAAAACAACATAAGAAAGGTTACAAATAAGGAAGTGTCATTTAACCCAGCAAGCATCTGCTTGATAATTAATGATTCCAAGATTTCCCATTCAGACATGGACAGATTTCCTGAAAGAAGCCAGGGTTGACACCAGCAACATGCCTGAATTGCTTCTTCCTCTTTTCTACAATGCCATGAATAAAAAAACAACCCTATTCTTGGTTTAAATGTACTTTACTTCTATGTATTTTTCACATGCATTATTCTGGTTTGTGTTTCACTGTTTTTTCTGAAAAGATTTAATAGTCTGATAAAAAGTTCCAAAGTAGCATCATTGGAAACATATCAATATGTCAGCCATCATTATGATTTTTATGGCAGCATAACTGTAATTAAACTAAATATCTTAATATGCTGCAGTATATAGCATTTTAACTTTCATAATAATTCACCCAATGCCTGATCATACTGTATTTCTTATTAATTTTATGTGAAGGCTTTGGTTGATTAAAAGCAATTAAAGATGTAGTTT